AGGCAGACCCTGAAGGCACACATAATTTACATGAAGAAGTGGCTCAAATGTTCACGGTTCCCACTCCTGCTACAATACCCTCTCTCTCCACGCCTACGAGTATGGCCTTATGGAGAGTTGCCTATGATCAGAGCATATACAAAGGAAGGGAAGACTTGGGCCTGGTTTCCAGATGCTTCTGCACAGTATACAGGCACCACCCACAAGTGGGCAGCTGTAGCACCACGGCCCCTCTCTGGGACATCGCTGAAGGACATGGTGAAGGGAAATCCTCCCACTGAGCAGAACTTTGAGCAATGTATCTGGTTATTCATTTTGCTTGTGAGAAGTGGCCAGATGTGATTATATACCGATTCATGGGATGTGGCCAATGGTTTGGTTGTACGGTCAGGGACTTGGAAGGAATGCAAGTCTATAATTGATGACAGGGAAGTCTGGGGAAGAGATATGTGGATACACGTCCCTGGATGGGTGAAAAAGGTGAAGATATTTTCATCCCAAGTGAATACTCACCAAAGGATTTTTTTTTTTTTAATAAGGCCGCACTGTGTGGCATGTGGGATCTTAGTTCTCTGACCAGGGATTGAACCCTCGCCCCCTGCAGTGGAAGAGTGGTGTCCTAACAACTGGACCTCCAGGGAAGTCCCTCAGCAAAGGATTTTAATAATCAAGTCAATAAGATGAACCATTCTGTGGATACCAGTCAGCCTTTTCCCCCAGTTGCCCCTGTAATCACCCAATGGGCAAAGTGACCATGGTGGCAGGAATGGAGGTTATGGGTGGGCTCAGCAACATGGGCTTCCACTCACCAAGACTACAGCCACTGCTGAGGGCCCAATCAGCCATCAGCCGGGACCAACACTGAACCCCCAATATAGCACCATTCCCTCGGGGTAATCAGCCAGCTACCTGGTGGCAGGTTGATTATATCAGACCACTTCCATCATGGAAGGGGCAGTATTTTGTTCTTACTGGACTAGACACTTATTCTGGGTAGAGATTTGCCTTCCCTGCATGCAATTATTCTGCCAAAACTACCATCTGGACTTACAGAATGCTTTATCCACTGAAATGGTATTCTACACAGCTTCTGATCAAGGAACTCACTTTCCAGCAAGTGAAGTGCAGCAATGGATCTATGCTCATGAAATTCTCTGGTCTTACCATGTCCCCTACCTTCCTGAAGCAGCCGGCTTGTCAGAACAGTGAAATGGCCTTTAAAAATTTTGTTTTATTTTATCGAAGTATAGTTGATTTACAGTGTGTGTTAATTTCTGCTGTACAGCAAAATGATTCAGTTACACATATATGATATATGTGAGTTAATATTTGTATATATATGAGTTAATATTTGTAAAAGCACATAGAACTGTGTGCATGAGGCTGACACAGTTCTCAGTAAACATTATTATACATATAAAATAAGGCTTCTGCAACTTTCACTGTGTTTTAATTAATTAATTTATTTATTTTTGGCCACACTGCATGACTTGCAGGATCTTAGTTCCCTGACCAAGGATTGAACCCATGCCCTTGGCAGTGAAATCGCAGAGTCCTAACCACTGGACTGCCAAGGAATTCCCCACTGTGTTGTTTTAAATGTCCATGATAAGACAAGTATATCTAGTTGATTCATTCTAGCTTTTCTATAATGTTTGTTTGCATATATGTTTATTTCCCTACTGACGGCTATTAGGCTATTTTTGTATTTGTTGTTACAAACAATGTTGCAATAAGTACCTTTATACACATATCCTTAGGCACAGATAGGGGTGTCTAAAGGGAACCAAGAGGGGAATTATTATCTTTAGAATATATTTTAAAATTTATTTATTATTTATTTGGCTGTGCTGGGTCTTAGTTGCGGCACGTGGGATCTAGTTCCCCAACCAGGGATCGAACCCAGGCCCCCTGCATTGGGAGCGTGGAGTCTTAGCCACTGGACCACCAGGGAAGTCCCCAAGAGGGGAATTAACTACTGGATATTGGGTATGCACCATTTCAGCTTCACTCAATATCCCTAAATAGCTCTTTAGCGATGTATGATGGTTCCTTTTCTCCATATCCTCACCAACTCTCGGTATCAAAAACTCCAATTTTTGCAAATGATAGTTTGAAATGATATTTCATTGTTTAACTTACACTTACCTGTAACTAGTGAAATGTTTGTATCTTTTCCTATGTTTATTGGCCATTAGGGGTTCCTTTTTGGTTACCTGTATGTTTAATATTGCATCTTTATATGTATCATGTTTCTATTTATTATTTATTTATTTATTTATTTAATTTTTTTTTTGCGTTACGCGGACCTCTCACTGTTGTGGCCTCTCCCGTTGCGGAGCACAGGCTCCAGACGCGCAGGCTCAGCGGCCATGGCTCATGGGCCCAGCCGCTCCGCGGCATGTGGGATCCTCCCGAGCCGGGGCACGAACCCATGTCCCCTGCATCGGCAGGCGGACTCCCAACCACTGCGCCACCAGGGAAGCCCTATTTATTTTTTTATTAATTTGTAGGCAGCCTGGATATATTCTGGATATGGAATAAAAGTTGACTCTCAGGTTTCAGGCTTGGACAAGTGGGTGGATTGTGTGCTAATTTAAATGGATGGAGAAGGGTAGTAGAAAAGAAGTTTTAGGAGGAATATCAAGAGTTCACGTTCAGACAAATTTGAGATGCTTTTAAGCCATCCAAGAGAACAAGTCTGTGTTGCAGAGATACATTTGGGAGTTGTCAGGTTATAGATGGTATGTAAAGTGATAGCGGGGCACGTGGTTATCTCCTGACAGAATTTGGAGTGACATGACAAGAGCCCTACAGAATTACACATTTGGAGAAGGAGGATCCAGAAGGGGATACTGAGATGAAGGGCCAGTAAAATAGAGAAAAACTAAAATTGTGTGATATTATGGAAGCCAAGAGAGGAACGTGCTTTTTCTCCTTCCAGTTTTTGCCTACATGTGGTTTCATTGCAGGGATGTACCCTAACTGCTCTTCTATTTGGAATTTGGATTATTTCAGTGCTTTTTAAATTATAAATTACACTTTGATGGACATTCTTGTATTTATCTTTTTTCACCACTCTATTTCCTTTGGATATACACCTATATATATAGGTGGAAGGGTATGCTTATTTAAAGCTTTTAACTATAAATTGCAGGTCATCTTCTAGAAAGATTTCTTTCATTCTATTCTGACCAGAATGAGTTTGTTTGGTTTTTTTTTTCTCCATTCTGGTGGTGGTGGAAAAGTGGTGAGAACCAGATAATGCATACCAATATTTTTAATGGTTGCAAAGTGTGCCATTGTATTGATATTTGTAATTTATTTAACCAGTTATATTGCCTGTTTTGGGTATTATAATTAGTGTTGCAATTAATAGCTTTTTAAGCTAAATCTTTTTGCTCATTCTTTTTAAAAAAATTAATTAATTAATTTTTGGCTGTGTTAGGTCTTCGTTGCGGTGCGCGGGCTTCTCATTGTGGTGGCTTCTCCTGTTGTGGAGCACGGCCTCTAGGCACGCCGGCTTCAGCAGTTGTGGCACTTGGGCTCAGTAGTCGTGGCGCACGGGTTTAGTTGTTCTGTGGCATGTGGGATCTTCCCAGACCAGGGCTCGAACCCATGTCCCCTGCATTGGCAGGTGGACTTTTAACCACTGCACCACCAGGGGAGTCCCATCAAATAAAATTCTTTAAAAAAATATTTATTCATTTATTTTTGGGTGCGTTGGGTCTTCGTTGCTGCGCGCGGGCTTTCTCTAGTTGCGGCGAGCAGGGGCCACTCCTCGCTGTGGTGCACGGGCTTTTCATTGCAGTGGCCTCTCTTGTTGTGGAGCACAAGCTCTAGGTGCACGGGCTTCAGTAGTTGTGGCACATGGGCTCAGTAGTTGTGGCTTGCGGGCTCTAGAGTGCAGGCTCAGTAGTTGTGGCACATAGGCTTAGATGCTCCGCAGCATGGGGGATCCTCCCAGACCAGGGCTCGAACCCGTGTCCCCTGCATTGGCAGGCAGACTCTCAACCACTGTGCCACCAGGGAAGTTCAAATAAAATTCTTAAACAATACCATTTTTCACATCGCACTGGGGTTGAGGCCCCAAATCTGAAAGGCTTTTCTTTTTTTTTTTTGGCCGAGCCACGTTGCTTGCGGGAGCTTAGTTTCCCAACCAGGGATGGAATTTAGGCCAGGGCAGTGAAAGCGCCAAGTCCTAACCACTGGACCGCCAGGGAACTCCCCCAAACGCTTTTTATTCCAGCTATGTTATTTGATCTGCTATCTAAGAATCAACTTCCAACAGCATTGTGTCAGCGACCAAGTCTTCAGAGACATCGCCAGAGGGCAAAGAGGATTTTTGCAGCCAATGGCTTCAAACCACCGTTGGTCCAGTGTGGCCATGGGATCACTTGGAAAAGCCTGTCTCAGGTTTGTGAAAGTCGTCTCAAAACCAGCGGAATTTTTATTAGGCTCATTCACTCTGGAATCTATTTGGCATTTCCCGTTTTGCTGTGGCCTAACGGTTCACCAAAATACGTTCAGTTCTCCTTGAGACGAGTCTTGCAGATGCTTTTGATTTTTTTAAAAAAATAAATGACAAATGAACAGTCACCAATGTATCCGCAAAAAGTAAACATTTGGATCAGCGTCCCTGCAGACATCCGATTCTTACACTAGCACCCGAGTCTCGGCGTGAGAAATGAGAGCGCTGACTCGGCGGGTGTTCAGGTCTCGAGGATAGTGGGGCTGAACCGCAGGGAGCAAAGGCCGGGGTTGACCCCACGTGGGGGCCACCCAATTCCTCCCGCAACGCTGCGCCAGCCGCCGCCCTCAGAGCAGCCCACCACGCGCCAGCACCTGGCGTGCGCCAGCACGGGGTCAGCCACCCTCCTCGAAAGGGAAGGGGCGGGGCGGTGGCATGCGGCAGGGCCCGCCCCCTCAAGCGCCCGGGGGCGGGCAGGTCTTCCGCCTTCCGAGGGGCTACTTCCGGATCCGGTGGTGGCCGCTGGGAGTAAACAGGGAGGCGGCGCTTGGGTGGCGGGAGGGCTAGCTTGCAGCCCGCGCGCGGCGGGCGATGCTGGGGGGTATCTTGGGGGCCCGAGAGCGCGAGGCGGAGGGCGACGCGGCAGGGGCTGTGCCTGCGCCACCTGCCATCGACTTCCCGGCCGAGGGCTCGGACCCCAAGTATGATGGTGAGGGACCCGGAATGCGGCGGCGGCGGCCCTCCCCGCCCCCGTCCACCTTCATTCCCGGGGCGGGCAGGTAGCTGCGAGGTTCGGCCCAGGACCTGGACACATTCGTCTGGATCCGGGCTTGAACTGGGACCCAGCGGTGCCGTATGGGGGCGGCGGGCGGGCCGTCTGGGTTAGGTGAACTCGTGTTGAAACAGGTGTCTGCAGCTCGGTCGATCGTTTACATTTCTGTATTTCCTCTGTGGACTCGGGGCTGCGGACGTGCTGGACTGTTTTGCAGCATCTGAGCCCCGGGGTGTTGTCGGGCGATGACCTTGAACTTTGTAAACTACTGGAATGGAACTCTGCAGACCCTATGCGTTGAACAGTTTGGGTTAAGAGTTTTAATTTGTGGCTTCTCTTGTCTTTTGCTTCACTAATCGCGTAGCTAAAGAGTTCTCATAGTGAGGCAGTATGGACATCATCCTCTTCGGTTAAAAAAAAAACGCCCGAGTTTTCTTGAGGCTTTTGGTTTCTAGGAGATAGGGCTAAGTCGGCAAAGTCAGTCAAGTTATTCATAAAGCGAGAGGTACTTACAGCATTGAGTCTAACCAGTTCAGAGTATCTAATGTTTTAATGAAAGTGCAATTGGCTCTTTAGCTGCAACCAGTTGTTTTGGCAAAAAGAAATTTTTTTTTTTAATTGAACATGAGCGTGATTTGGAGAACTTTTCCAGACTTGCAGTTGGTATCAGAAGGGAGGGAGGTTTCATGTGGACAGTCTACCCTGTAACATTTGTAGTTGGCTAAGCCCTTGCAGACATCAACATAAAGATTGGGAGTGAGCATTACAGCATATAATTATGAGCAGAACTAAGATTAAATAGGGGCCAAAATCGAGAGAGTCTGGTATGTAACGTCTGCTCAGTTTAGATATTGGACAACTAAAAATAGGGGAGTGGGGAAAGCGTGTATTTAAAAAGTAAATATATTGATGGTGGTAGTATAGGTCTCGATATTCTGTAACCCAGTAGCAACAAATATCCCAAGTTCTCAGAATGTGGTCGTTTTTTTTTTTGCTTAGTGGATGAACACTTTAAAAAAATTGAATTATAGTTAATTTACAATGTTGTGTTAGTTTCAGGTGTATAGCAAAGTGGTTCAGTTATACATATGCATATATATTCTTTTTCAGTTTCTTTTCTATTATAGGTTATTACAAGATGTTGAGTATAGTTCCCTGTGCTATACAGTAGGTCCTTGTTGTTTACCTATTTTATATATAGTAGTGTGTATGGACTTGTAATTAATTAATTAATTTTTTTTTGGGTGCGTCGGGTCTTAGTTGCGGCATGTGGGATCTTCTTGTTGCGGCACGTGGGCTTCTCTCTAGTTGTGGCGTGTGGGTTTTTTCTCTCCAGTTGTAGCACACAGGCTCCAGGGTTCAGTGGGCTCTAGTTGAGGCGCGCGGGCTTAGTTACCCTGCAGCACATGGGATCTTAGTTCCCTGTCCGAGGATCGAACCCACGTCCCTTGCATTGTAAGGTGGATTCTTTACCACTGGACCACCAGGGAAGTCCCTGTATGGCCACTTTTAAAATAAAATTGTGCCATAAAAAATGAATACATTGATTCAAGGAGGTTTTTACTATGTGGTAGTTTGAATAGAATGATTACAGAGAATACACGTTAAGTTGAAGGATGAAACAAATATTAACATGTTTTAGGGATTTAAAGGTGCAAGCCGAGTCGAAAAGGTCTTAATTTATTCCTTAAATTCTTTGATTTTCATCCTTATTACTACCTACAATTCTTGATCTTAAAGAGAAACAACAACAGACTCTGAGGGTGATTTAAGTAGGCCCTTAGCACAGGACAGTTGTAAGCTAACTACTTTTTAATGGGCAAACTGATTTTTTCCACGTGTCATATTATAGCAGCTCGATGCGTAAAGCATTATGTCATAGAAGTCCCAGCGGTAAACAGGCAAGTCTGTCTGTTCTGTAACATTGTGATAAGGTTTTCTGCAAACCGAAGATTATTCTTGAAGGGAGTGATCGTCGATAAGCTTCTAAAAATTTCCTCCTCATTTGGTTACTAATAATACTGCTGCATTTACGTATTGCCTTTTCTTCCAAAGAAGCCCAGAGTGTCCAGACATACTTTATCTTTTTATATGAAAAGTTAGGTCTGTGAGAAATGTAGTTTCATTTCTAGACTTCAAACAGTAGGTAGATGATTTCTCGACCGTGGTCTGTATTGATGTGAGGAGGTCACTCTGCCCGCCAATGGTAGTAGTGTCAGAAGAGTTGCCACCTAGATGTAAGTAACACCTGTGTTCTTTAGCAACTCATCCTGTAGGGAGTCTCCTGGAGCCAACATCAGCCTTTGATCAGAGTTTCTGCATGTTTTTTTTTTCCTGTGGAACAGCACAGTGTTAGAAGGAGGGCCGACAGTAAGCCCATTGTCAGACTCATTCATTTTCCTTCTTTCATCTGACACAAATGTTTTTACCTCAGATTAATTCTACAGGTTCTTTAATTTAATAATGGACCATTTGGATCATACTTTCCTCAGGAGGTTGAATCAGTTCATCCCTTTCCTGTTTGTTTTACTCCCCTGCTTCTTGGCAGAATTCTAGAACTCTAATGCACATCGGGTTTAGATACCATTTCCTACTCTTTAAGAAGAGAACTTGACCTCACCTTTCCTTTTAGCCACTTAACCTCTTCCTTTTCTCTTGACCAGAACTGTGAAGTGGGAAGCTTTTAGCCTCAGCCTTCATTTCCTTTCAGTTTTACTCCTTCCTGCATTTGGGTGTCTGTCCATTGGTCTTTTTAAAGTTGTCATTTTCATGATTTATTAGGTTCAGTTGACTCCACTGAGCAACCATTCTTTTTTGTTTTTTATTAAAAAGTAGATTTTCTCATTGTAGAAAATAGGAGAGTATAAAAATAGGAAAGTGTAGGGCTTCCCTGGTGGCGCAGTGGTTGAGAGTCCGCCTGCCGATGCAGGGGACACGGGTTCGTGCCCCGGCCCGGGAAGATCCCACGTGCCGCGGAGAGGCTGGGCCCGTGAGCCATGGCCGCTGAGCCTGCGTGTCCGGAGCCTGTGCTCCGCAACGGGAGAGGCCACAACAGTGAGAGGCCCGCGTACTGCAAAAAAAAAAAAGGAAAGTGTAGAAGCAGAAAACCCTCCCAAAAAAATCTCAGCACTGTTGACAATTCAGTACTTAAAATTTTCTTTCACATTACAGAGTATGTTAAAAATGTGGAAAAGCATGAAGAAGAAAATTAGAAAAACCATAATCTCATCGCCCAGAGATTACTGTTTGTCATTTAAATATACAAACATTACATTTTGACTTAGCTAGAGACAATTTTTTGGGTGAATTTTGCATTTAAAACTGTTTGTCAAAGAAAGGTATTCTGAATGGATTCAAGATTTCTGTCTGATTTCGTCGTCCAGATAAGATAAAAATTTAGAGAAGTCATGTGCAAAATTTAAAGGCATAAAGGAAGAAGAGAGGGAAAGTGTATATATATTCACATCTCTGAGGAGAACTCACTGCTAATAATTTGGTGTATTCATTTGCAAATATTTCCTGAGAGTTGCTGTATGCCAGGTACATGCCTAGATATGAAGGATCAAACAGGCAGACTATAAAACAGCTGCTCACTGTAATTTCACTCTTTTTGTAGCCTCTTTCATTGAAAACACAGGGGGCAGAGATTTCTGTCTGTTTTGATGTTTCCATTCTTTTTTTGTGTGTGTACATTTATATAGATATAGAATAAATATATTTTAAAATCGTGATCGTAAAAATTTTATGTTGCTTTTTATTTTTATTTTTTGGCCATGCCTTGCGGCTTGTGGGATCTTAGTTCCCCGACCAGGGGTTGAACCCAGGCCCCGGTAGTGAAAGCTCAGAGTCCTAACCACTGGACCACCAGGGAATTACCTTATGTTGCTTTTTAAATGTGAACTTTTATTAGCATTTTCTTGTGACAAATTAGTCTTTAAGAACGTTATTTTAAGACCATCACATTCTGTACTATCATTTATTTAGTCTTCACTGTATTGGTGGAAAACAGATTTATCTTTTTTTTTACCATTAGAAATAATGATGGGTTTGACATGTGTATACATAAATCTTTGTTAATATCTGATTATTTCTTTAGAATAGACCCACAGAAGTAGGATTTGTTGGGTCAATGAAAAATATTAAAAACAGTTTTGATATGTTTTGCTAAAATGATAACCAGAAAAGTTGCATTGGTTTGTATGAAACTATCTCCCTCAGCTTCATTAGTGTTACTGTCTATGGCCTGCTTCTTTGACTCGATACAGGATTATTTATGATTATCTTTCTATACACCATCATTTATAACAGCTACATAGTATTCTATTATATGTGTATAACTTGTTTAACAAATTTTTAATACTTTGTTATCCTGAACACCTTGTACATATATATTTGTTATGCTTTGTTTAATTATTTCCTTGGTTTACGTTTCCAAAAGTAAAGTTTTGCACACGTGAAATTCTACAGTGTATTGTCAAAGGTTGCAAACACCCCCTTGTGTTTGAAAGTATCTAGTTTTCTGTGCCCTTAACAATACCAAGGATTCCAGGCTTTAAATAGTTACCAGTCTGATGGCAAACTCTTGTACTGTGGTTATTTTACTATGTATGTCATTACCCACTAGTTTTGTTAAGCCTATTTGAATTTTAATTGTGCTTCATTTTCTTACTAGCTTGTAAGAGTGCTATATAAATTTTATTCCCTTTTTCTTGTCATGTACAGTAAAGGTATCTGTACTGTATCTGATTTTGTGATTCATATTTTAACTTTAAGATGTCTTTACATAGAGAAGTTTTTACATGGCCACATTTTCCATTCTTTTTCTTTCTCATATTCAGGCAATAAGTATTCATTTAAAATGAATAGCCCATCTCCATTCATGCAGGTCTTTTTGGGGCCACCTACAGGTCGGAGAGGTGAATTGGTGAATGAAGTCTCGATTTCAAAACCTCTCTTCCAGGACCTTTTAGTAGTTGATAGAGAAGCGTGGAATAAAATGTTTGGATTGGGGCTGATTTGAGAAGGTGTAGGATACCTGGGCTCTGTCTCCACAGGGCATTTCCAGCTGGGTCAGCGGCTCCTGAGTTTGAGCTCATCTTTCCTCCAACAGCCCCTCTTACCAGTTTTCACTCTTGTTAACCTCTCCTTCCTCTCATTCCTAGTGTTTCAAATCCTGACCCGTCCATTTCTTTCTTGGTATCTCTGGGACCTGTCCTTTCCTCCACGTTTCTGTCACTTACCTGCTTTATAGGCTCACCCTGACTTCTTGTTGACTCTTTTTTAAAAAAATTTATTTTATTTTATTTTTTAAGTTCATTTTTGGCTGTGTTGGGTCTTCATTGCTGCGCGCAGGCTTTCTCTAGTTGGCGGCAAGCGGGGGCTACTCTTCGTTGCCGTGCGCGGGCTTCTCATTGCTGTGGCTTCCCTTGTTGCGGAGCACGGGCTCTAGGTGCGCGGGCTCTAGAGCACAGGCTCAGTAGTTGTGGCGCGTGGGCTCAGTAGTTGTGGCTCACGGGCTCCAGAGCACAGGCTCAGTAGTTGTGGCGCACGGACTTAGTTGCTCCGCGGCGTGTGGGATCTTCCCGGACCGGGGATCAAACCTGTGTGCTCTGCATTGGCAGGCTGATTCTTAACCACTGTGCCACCAGGGAAGCCCCTTCTTGTTGACTCTTGCATGTCTCCTTCCAGGCTACCTATCACGGGTCCAGAACAGTTTCCTCAAACATGTTTCCTGCATTGTGTTTTTGGCCTGTTAAATAACGTATTAAACAGTGCGTGAGAACTTAATGACTGTCAGCTTTAAGTGCCAACTCAGCTGTCCGCTTGGTCTTGTTCAGTGGAAAGACGATGGACTTGGGAGTCAGTCTGATCTGCTGCTAACTTGTTCCTTAACCTCTCAATGAGATCAGTGTCTGCATCTGTAAAATGGGAATAGTAACATAGGGCGTTTCGGGAGGATTCGATGAGATTGTGCATATAAAACACCTGGTCCATAGTGTGTAGCTCAGAGTAAAGATTCCGTTCTTCCTCCCTTTCCCTTTCTTTGCTGCCAAACTTCTTTCTCTCTGCTTCTCGAAGGAAGGAAGCCATCCTGTTCCTGCTTGCTTGCTTGTTTGCTGGAATATTTATTTGTTTCTACCTTTGTACACATCATCCCTAACCAGCACTTCCTCCCTTCCCGAACTGGCATCTCTCTGCTAGTTCTTCCAGAATTCAACTCAAAACTCAATTCCAGAATGTCTGTCTTGATTAACCCCACTCACCGTAACTACTGTTTTGCTTTTTATTTCCTTGAATTTAAATAGTGTTTTCCTAATTAGAATATGCTGTTTTGTCATTACGAGCTATGTTTACCATTTCTTAAATTTTTTTTCCTTTTTTAATTTGCAGAATCTGATGTTCCCGCAGAACTCCAGGTGCTGAAAGGACCCCTACAGCAGCCAACCTTCCCTTTTGCAGTTGCAAACCAGCTGTTGCTGGTTTCTCTGCTGGAACACTTGAGCCATGTGCACGAACCAAACCTGCTTCATTCAAGACAGGTGTTTAAATGTTAGTAAGAATAAATTAACCTTGCTAAATAAAACTTGTAAAATTACTCTGTTGTTTAACGCTGTCAGAGAAGCAGCTGGTGTATAAAAATTTGAAATAAGCCTTAGTAGTACATCCTGTAAATTTATTTTATGTTTTCCTTTGGGTAATTCCTTATGAATATCATCCCTGGGGACCCTGCAAAAGATTAATCACCACAAAATTGTGTGTATTTAAAAGGTAGTTCTTTTTGATTTATAAGTGATAATTCATGCAATTTTCGAAGATCTGTCACGGTTTAGTTGGTGAACAGGTACATGAAAATCCCAGGTATTGATTCGGAACTTGTTTTTGCCCAGAGCCCTGAACGGTTGTGTTTTGTGTCGTTGAAGGAAGCTGTTTTCCTCTACACATTGAATACTTCCGACACCAAATGTGTGGGGCTTTCCTCCCACCCGGACCAGTTCTTCTGACACCAGCTGGGTGTCTTACAATTCACTTCCGACACTGTCTCCCTGGAGTTGGTGTCAGATCTGGCAGGTTAAGGGCTCAGTCCTACAAGACTGTCCTCATTTCAGACGCCAGTCGAAAGTAGGAGGTCCCTAGGTTCTCAGGTTACCCACACTTGTGTCTGACTTGGCTCCAAATTGGGGGTTCCCAGTGCCCCTCCTCAGGTTTGATAATTTGCTATAACAGCTCACAGTACTCAGGCAGACACTTACTTTTTAAAAAAAATAAATTTATTTATTTATTTTGGCTGTGTTGGGTCTTCGTTGCTGCGCGTCGGCTTTCTCTAGTTGTGGCGAGCCGGGGCTACTCTTCATTGCGGTGTGCGGGCTTCTCATTATGGTGGCTTCTCTTGTTGTGGAGCACAGGCTGTAGGCATGCGGGCTTCAGTAGTTGCGGCTTGCGGGCTCTAGAGCGCAGGCTCGGTAGCTGTGGTGCACGGGCTTAGTTGCTCCGCGACATGTGGGATCTTCCCGGACCAGGGCTCGAACCCGTGTCCCCCGCATTGGCAGGCGGATTCTCAACCACTGCGCCACCAGGGAAGCCCGAGACACTTCCTTATGCTTACCAGTTTATTATAATAAAGGATACAGAGGCACACAGGGTGAGGTCCTGAGGGTCCCCACAGAGTTTGGGTTCCCCACCCTCCTGGCAGGTGGCTGTTTTCACCCACCCTGTACTTTAGGGACTTTTTATTGAGGCTTCATCACGTTGCTATGCTTGATTATTAACTCAGTCTCCAGCCCTTCTCCCCTCCCTGGAAGATGGGGGTGTGAAGTGGAAAGTTCTCAGCTTCTAATCAAGGCTTGGTCTTCCTGGGGACCAGCCCCCATCCTGAAGTGACCTAGGGGCTCCAGCCACCAGTCATCTCATTAGCATACAAAGACTCATCACTGGAGACTCCAAGGCTCTGAGAAGCTCTTGTGTCAGGAACTGAGGTCAGAGACCAAATATTAAGACAAAAGATGCTCCTAATACCCCTATCACTCAGAAGATTGTAAGAGTTTTATAACTGTGGAGCTGTGTGTCAGTAGCCCAAGACAACGATCAAAATAATCACAGTGGTTGAAAATGTTTATTCCTGCCATAGGTTACTTGTCTGAGGACCAAGCACAGAAATGAGTAGAATCACAGATTATGGCATTTCTGGTTCAGCTTCATAGATTGAACTCTTGAGGAGCCCACACCACAGATTCTAAGTGTCTTTTCTCCCAAAAGTCTTCCCAAGTCTTGTTTGGTGTTAGAAAGCCTTAAATTTACAGATACTTTTATGTGATCTTAGAAGAACATAATGTTTTTAGTTAAAGGTAATTATTTTGATAAGCTTCATGGCACATAAGAAATGGTAAAAAATGTTATTTGTCCAGTATATACTTATTTTCTTGAATATGTGTTGGGGGGGGTGGGTCGTACAAAAGGGGGTGTTCTGTAGGTTCCAAACCCGGGGATTATTTTCTGGTATAGAGAAGATTATAATGCTTTTTTTTTTTTTTTATAAATTTATTTATTTATTTTTGGCTGCGTTGTGTCTTTGTTGCTGCACGTGGGCTTTCTCTAGTTGCGGCGAGTAGGGTCTACTCTTCGTTGCGGTGCGCGGGCTTCTCACTGCACTGGCTTCTCTTGTTGCAGAGCATAAGCTCTAGGCTTCAGTAGCTGCGGCTCACGGGCTTAGTTGCTCCGTGGCATGTGGGATCTTCCTGGACCAGGGATTGAACCCATGTCCCCTGCATTGGCAGGCGGATTCTTAACCACTGCGCCACCAGGGAAGTTCTATAATGCTTTTAATATAGTACTCTCACTCCTGATTAAAGCAAAGCTGTGAATCTTGCTGGGTTTAAGATGTTTTAAAATTCCTTATATACAGCCCTTTTAAAGCCTGAACTTTAATACAAAGTTGATTATTTTTTAAAGAGAAATGAGAGTGTTAATATCATTATTACCTTTTACTTACTGTTTCCCTCTTCTGACTGAATTTTGGTTTCCTTTCTTCCTTCGTGTCATGGTGTTCAAAATAAAGGATATTTAAGTAAATGTTTTTGATGTGGTTTAGTTAGTTGACAATCTAAATGGAGAGTTTTTCACATAGAATTTTCTCTATAGTACCTGTATTCCTTGAACAAGTAAAAACCAAGCACTTCTGTAGAAACTTCTTTTTCTGAGCAGCCTCATCTTGTGACTCGAGACTTGACTTCCCCCCGGGTATTTGGTCTGTACACACATCTCAGATGTGCTCTTTGTGTGTTGGTTAAGGATATTCCATAATTGAAAACAACAGTTCGTATTCACTTTTGTTGTCAGTTCTAATCATTTGTTTCCACTCCTGCCTTTTAAATTTTTATTTATTTATATGTTCTACCCCTCCCCCTCCTTTTTTTTTTTTTCTTGCCTTTTTTAAAAACAGAACTTAGTACTTTACTGACTGACCAAGCACGGTAAACAAATGACTGTAGAATGTAGAGTGTCAGGTAAGAAATAACAGATGAGCCCCTGATCAACGAGTGTAACCAATCATTCCATCTCTTCAGAGAATCAGTCCCCAAGCTGTAATGTGTGCGTAAACATAACTTTTTTCTTATAGAGGCTATTATTATGACTCTTTATTTTCTGTGTTTTCTTGAAAATTGCCATCTCATTGATGGCCTTTCTAATAATTGTCTTCTATATTTTCTTATAGTACTTTGTCAGACCTTTATCAAAATGGGGCTGCTGTCATCCTTCGCGTGTAGTGGTGAGTTTAGCTCCTTGCGGCTACATCACAGCAGAGCTATTATGCACTTAATGAGGTCAGCTAAGGAGAGAGTTCGTCAGGTAAGCACTAAGAAATGTACTTGGAGTGTGATAAAAACATTTTCATTTCAAGAGAACTGCATTTTAAAGCATTCTGAAATCCTGATTATAACAGGTTTATTCAACATTATAACATCTGTTTATTCAACAGATGTTTATCGAATGGCTGCTATGTGTTAGGCTCTCTTGTAGGAGCTGGGGTCCAGGCAGTGAGCAAAATAAAAGTCCCTGCCCTGGGGCGGGGGTGGTGGTGGGATGAATTGGGAGATTGGGATTGACATATCTACACTAATAGGTATAAAATAGATAACTAATAAGAACCTGCTGTATTAAAAAAAAAAAGTCCCTACCCTCAGGGAGCGGATGTTCTGACAAGCGGGCAGTAAACCGGAGAAAAAGAAAAATACATGGGGTGTTAGGTGGTGGTAAGTGTTAAGGAGAAACATAAAGCAGTGAAGGGCATTAGAAAATGTTGGGAGGGGCCGTGTAGCGTGGCAGGTAGGACCTCGCTGAGACAGGAGCAAGGAGCTGAGGTTGAGGAATGAATCACAGGGAGGGAAAGCATTCCAGGCAGAGGAGCAGCTGTGTGCTGGCTTGTTTGTGAGGCTGACAGGCAGCCAGTGGCAGAGGTGGAGTAAGCAAGGGGGGAGAGGCAGGGCCGAGGGGCAGATGGAGATGGATCTGGAGACGTTTTAATGTCTTTGGTTTTCACTCAGTAAAATGAGAAGTGTTGCAGGGTTCTGAGCATGGGAGTGACATAATCTGACTTTAACGGGTTCTCCCTAGCTGCTGTGTTGAGAATACACAGAGGAGGGGACGAGGGCAGAAGCAGGGAGACACGTGCAGTCATATAGGCACAAGGTGCTGGGGGCTTGGAACGGTGACACGGGAGCAGTGGTCAGTTTCTGCTTTTATGTGAAGGGGAAGCTGGCGTTGTTTGCCGGTGGCGCTCCTTGGTAAATCTCAGCTTTGTCCTTGGATGGCAAGAATATAGCTTTTTCACAGGTGATCTTTTAGTTAAGAGAAAAATGTCTTCAATTGCAAACTCTTAAGTAATATTGAAAAAGCCATTGGGTGGGTGTGGTTTTTTTTTTTTTAATATTAGTTTGAGCATTTATACCAATCTAACATTGGATTTTGATAGATTCCTTATTCCATGAAATTTTCAAAATGTTTTTTAAAAATAACTTTTTGATTTTAGGGTCCTTGTGAGGATAATTCTCATATCCAGAAGATCAGGTATGTGTTGAATACTTTTTTGACTATGCAAGGAGTAAACTGATCCAAAAGAAATCGGGATTAAGAATTAATCCTGAATTAATCAGAAATTAGTAGTGGGATTAAAAATAACGTAGTTAGGGTAGTTTATGAAAATTAAAAACATTGTAAGATTAAAAACTTTTTAAGATTTGCTAAAAATTTTGTAAGATTTCTCATTCTCTCTTTGAGCACCCTTCCCCCGCAATTCCATGTGGATTCCATAAGCCCCACTCTTAATTCAGAGCACTGACATCCAGTCCCTGTCAGGGGAACACCACTGAATTTCGGCTGTATGTAGGAAATGCTCGTTTAAAATCTGTAACGGGTCTGAATCATTAAGAAATTTAAGTAAACTTATCACTGAGCTTAGCTACTTAACTCCTGCCTGTTAGTCGTCCTTAGGATTCCTGTTAAAACAATAATAATAAATAATAATATTAACTTAATAATTATTAAAACAATAATTTCTAATTGGAATACTGATTACTGGTAAAATACTTAAAATTAATGATCCCCTTGATATCTCTATTACGCTATTGATTCGCTTATTATCAAATGTTTTCTTCATAGAGAATGAAAACTTTGATTTTAGCTCATCCTTTCCAAATTATCACAGTTTAGTGATAAACGAGGTTTGCCAGGCTAGTAATACAGTGAACATGGTCTGTCTTAGAACATTTTGGTTCTCTCATGTTTGGGGATTGATTGATTGATTGTGTTTAACTTTCAGATCAAGGGAAGTAGGCTTTGAAGCACAAACTTCACGTTACTTGAATGAATTTGAAGAGCTTGCCATCTTAGGAAAAGGTGGATATGGAAGAGTATACAAGGTGGTTTTCCACATATTTGTTTTGACCCCCTACTCTAAACAATGTATTTGCCGAAGTTGTTTTCATTGTTATTATTTAACGTGCTCAAAGGAAAATTCCTAGAAATCACGTATGTTTACTTTTTATTTAGATTTGTCATTTACAGGGACGTGGGCAGGTTTTAATGTTTTCCTAACCACGTTGGTGATTTGGTGGATTCTGGAAACTTTGAGGTTTTGTTCTGTAGCTAATTTCTATTAAAAAATGTATTACTTGAAAAAGTTTTGCTGCTGTGTTTTGCACATAGCCTTTTTGCTAACATTCCCATTCTTCAGACCTAGAGATTCTAGGAGTTGGACTCTCAGTACAGTTGGAAAAACTATTAGTCTAGTTGACTACGGCTGACTTCTCTGAACATAGTAAAGGGGATGCATAAAGCGTGGAGTCCAAACCACTGAACCGCCAGGGAATTCCCCAGGACGTGTGTCTTTAGCTTAATTTTATCTCTTTGGCTACTTTGGATTATCTAAGGTCAGGTTAAAAGAACTTTCTTTATTCAGTTGGATTTAATGGTACAATATACTTTGTCTTTTCCTCTACTTTTAGGTCAGGAATAAATTAGATGGTCAGTACTATGCAATTAAAAAAATCCTGATTAAGGGTGCAACTAAAACAGATTGCATGAAGGTATGATTTAAAACGTTTACTTATTTTGAATAATTGAGTATTTAGGTCCTTCTGAAAGAGTTTGTGTGTGTGTGTGTTTGTGTATTTGGGAAATACTTGGTGATATGGATTGCAGTTTACTAGGAATGGGTTACCATAAAATAAACATCAAGATTAAATTTTTATTTGACTTAAATTTTTTATAGGCACTTTAGGTTGACCACATTTCAGGGTCATTGCTGGGGAAATTAATTCTTTAAGTAAACTATTCATATACAATATATAACAAGCTTTTTATGAAAAACACAGGCGCTCAATTCAGGTCCAAGTCTTCTCCCTGACATGCTGTGTGATCCCAGGCAAACGACCTAGTCCTCTAAGCCACTTCTGTCTCCTGCCCTTGAAAATAGTGGTGACAAGAATGGTTTTATTTACCTTGGAGGTCTGGACTTACTTGTAGGAATGAAATGAGGGAATGATTATATATGAGCCATGGAAAGTGTAAAGTGCTATATGCATGTCAGTTATTTAGTTGCTATAACAACTGCAGGGCTTGCCTGGTGGCGCAGTGATTGAGAGTCCGCCTGCCGATGCAGGGGACACGGGTTCGTGCCCTGGTCCAGGAAGATCCCACATGCCGCGGAGCGGCTGGGCCCGTGAGCCATGGCCACTGAGCCTGCGCGTCCGGAGCCTCTGCTCCACAACGGGAGAGGCCACAGCAATGAGAGGCCTGCGTACCGCAAACAACAACCACAACAACAACAACTGCATTTGTCTCTCACAAAAGTATTCCCATTATTTTAACACAGTCTAGATTCCTCGTACAGAGGGAACAAGTATTATTTAATACCATGAACATTTAACAAATTTGTCGGTAAAAACCAGCTCTAAGTATGTTTCTTCTTCAGGTACTACGGGAAGTTAAGGTGCTGGCTGGTCTTCAGCATCCTAATATTGTAGGCTATCACACTGCCTGGATAGAACATGTTCACATGGCCCAAAGGCAAGGTGAGCGGTTTTAGATGAAACAGTTGAAGGGTTGGTAAATTTCAGCCCGTGGGTGACATCAGGCCTACGTCTGTTTTTGTGCACCCCACAAGCTGAGAATTTTTTTTTTAAAGAGTTAAAGGAAGAATTATTTTGTAAAGATTATATGAAATTCAAAATTCAGTGTCAGTAAAGTTTATTAGAACACAGGCTCGTTCGCATGTGTTATCTTTGGCTGCTTTTGCACTACGGAAGCAGAGTTGAGTAGTGGCAGCAGGGTCCCCTAGGGCCCACAAAACCTGAAATATTTACTGTCAGGTCCTGTACGGAAGGTTCGATGAGCCCTCGCATAGTTGAACAGCTCTGTTTTTGTCTTTTCTAAAATCTGCCAGTCATTTGAATAAGCTTGGTGTATTTGCATTTTGCCAGAAGGTCGTGACATTTTTAACTTCTTGTCTCATTTGGTCTTACTTATGTATTTTAGCTCTGCCTTTGACTATAAATTAGAAAACTGGGCTGCTTGAAGATTTCCTTTTGTTTCTGTTCAGCAGATAGAATTTCTATTCAGTTGCCATCTCTGGAAGTGATCTCTGACCAGGAGGACCCCAGGTACGTGGGCTGCCGTGTCCTTTCACACCCTAGACGTTACCTCCAGTCACCTGCCTTGGGTTGCCTTTGCCTTTTACACCTAGGAGCTCAGGAGTGTTTTAGACTTCCTTTTTGCTTATTTTCATTACAAAATGTTAAGTTATTTTCTTCCTTCTCTCAGGTATTTCTCAGTATTTTTAAGTAAATGCTGCTGCTGGACAGATGGGTTGTCTCTTTTGTCAGGAGTTTACCAGTCAGTTTCATACAGGACTGAAGGAACAGTTGAGGTACACTGGATCTTTTTTTACATTGGTTTTTATCTTTACTGTTTTTTTTTGGCCTCCAGAGATCAGTGTGATGTTAAAAGTGATGAAAGTAACAGCCCATCCATTATCTTCGCCGAATTCACCCCAGAAGAAGAAAAATCCTTGGGAGAATCTGGCGTTGAAAATCAGAATAATAGATTGGTGAACTACAGCGCCAGTGTAGTCCCAAGAGATGCCGGTGAATTTGAACCGTCCCTTGAACCCCAAGGAAAAGGTGTGGCTGACGAGTCTTCCAGATCGATTGTTGGGCATTGGCTGCCACTTGGGCATAATTCAGACCTGGAAGAGAATTTCGCATCCACTGAGGAATCTTCTGAAGAAAACTTAAACTTGTTGGGGCAGACGGAGGTAGATGAGTTTCCCAGAACCTGCGCATTTGCTGTTTCCCTGTAATAACGGCGTGGAGGACGGTGATTAGACGCGGCCGGCCCTGCCCCGCAGGCGGCTTCCCTCCTCAGCTCCCCATCCCTGTCTCTGCCCTTGCTCTTCTGCCCTCGTGCTGCCTCCTGACACGTGGCCCGGGTATTTGGTCCTCCCTCCTTCTCTTAGTAAACTCCTCCTGGTCCTCTTCTGACCCCCCTGACTGGGGCATCTCATAGGTACACCCCGGAGCAGGAAGCAGCACACACGCTCTGTTTCTGTGGTTGGCGAGCATCGTGCTGTCCAAATATATTTACGCAGAGAGAGTTTCTGTATTTCGGAACGCGACTTCAGAACATGTTATTAGAGCACAGAATAGCTGTCTGAATGGGTGGATCACCAGGTCAGCTTTCAGTGTCCTAATTACAGTAATTAGGATTACACTGATGTGCTGGTGTGCTCCCCCTTACTGAGTGTTAGTATTTAAACTGGAACGTTAACAGGGTCCGCGCATAACCTGTCGTGTTGGGATCACAAAACTGTATATACCATCTGTACACTCACAGGTAGCATTAATTCTAGCTGTCCAGGAATATGAGGTTCTGTATTTTTATGAAACACAAAACACTTTGAGTAGGTTCCCTGAATATAAAGGAGTTGAGTTTGAGGGACTTTTCATCAGAATCATTTCATTGTTCTGTAATACATTTGGGAAAATTTCCTGAATGGGCTGCAGTGAGCTTAATTTTTGCTTACTTTTTTCTTGGACAAATTATTAGTCATGTGAAGCCAGATAAAGTGTGTGCACACTCTGGGGTATCCATAGAGTAGCAGAATACCATACAGCCAGCCTGATGCTGTATCTTCAGCTTTAAAAACTGTTTATCTCGAGAGCAGACTAAACAGTTTCAGGCCCACGGACTCTGTCACGTTCAAGAGCTTCTTCCATTTAATACCTGCCTAACCCCAGCCGGGCCTGCCTCAGCCCACTTGGGTCATGACGCGTTGTGTTAAGTATTGCTTTATTCCTCTGTCTCCTTCACTAGACTTCGGGCTTCTTGGGCAGGCTTGTGTCTGTAGTCTCTGTCCATAGCACGTAGCCTGGGTTAGGGTTAGGCAAGGGAGCATTTGTCCGCTAAATGGTGCAGATAGGAGCCAGTGGTGTGTCGCCCCCTAGGTGCAGTACCACCTGATGCTTCACATCCAGATGCAGCTGTGTGAGCTCTCGCTGTGGGACTGGATCAGAGAGAGGAACCAGCAGGGCCGGGAGAGCATGGATGAATCCGCATGTAAGTACCATGTGGGTGTTCAAGGGCTGGGCTGGGAACTACAGACAGGCCTGCCACCTTCTGCCTGCAGGTGCTTTAGATTGGGGGGAAAATCACATTTTTAAAATATAAGTAGGTATTTGGAAGTTAATATTTTCTGTTATAGATACATAGTTTGTTGATATTTAAGAGTACTATGCTAGAATTTAGTATAATGATTTCAGGTAGAAAAGTCTTTTAAAAAAATTTTAAGGGAAAATTTAAATATTTGTTTTACTTTTTTAAACTGAAAATGTGATACTTTGGGACTTCCCTGGCAGTCCAGTGGTTAAGGCTCTGCGCTTCCTCTGCAGGGGGCACGGGTTCGATCCCTAGTCGGGGAACTAAGATCCTGCATGCCGTGCGGTGTGGCCAAGAAAAAAAGAAAAGACTGAAAATGCGATATTTCTATAAAAAGAAACCTTTAAAGAAACCCTGATAGAAGGGCATGTGGTCAGAAGTTTGTCTCCCTCAAGATCCACGTCCCCCGCTCCCCTGCAGTTATACAATAGCCTCTAGAAGCACTCTGTTAGGTTAATATTTGTAGAGTATTATAACACTGGTTCTCAGCTTAACACTGCACGTAGAAATCACCTGGGGAACTTTTAAAAAGATGTTGTCAATTAAAAAAAAGTAACTTTACAGTGGAAGAAACGTGACAAACGCCCCCTCAGCAAGTAGTCAAGGTCAGCATCGACAGCGATAACTCACGTTGATGGTATGTGCCCTTGATAAGAGGCTGTGAAAAGGGCACGGTATCTCTGTGCTTTTCCTCCCCCAAACCCATAACCCCAGTCTAATCATGAGAAAAATAGACAAATCCCAGCTGAGGGACATTCTCCAAAATACCTGACCAGTACTTCTCAAAACTGTCAAGGTCATCATAAACAGGAAAAGTCTGAGAAACTGTCACAGACCAGAGGACCCTCAAGAGGCATGACAACTCAGTGTAATGTGGTATCCTGGATGGAATCCTGGAACAGAAAAAGGACATTAGGTAAAAACCAGGGACGTCTGAATAGGCTGTGGACTTGTATCGGGATCAGTGCATTGTGACATGTACCAGACTGATGTAAGGTGTTGGTGACAGGGAAACTGGGTGTGGGGTAAGTGGGAACTGTCTTCTCAGGTTTTCTGTAAATCTAAGACTGTTTTTAAAAATGAAATCCTTTTAGAAAAAGGGTGTTGTCTGGGACCACACCAGTAATTTTTCTATAATTGGTCTTGGATAGGGCTTGGCCTTTGTTATTTTTTTGTGAAAGTTCTCTTGTTGATTCTAATGTGCGGCCAAAGTTGAAGTTCACTGCGGTAGATGATCAAAATAGGGGATGCGAGTGACCTGATTTTAAGTAAAGGCTCAACTAAATATCAATCATTAATCATTTGCTGTTCACTCCTAGTGACACTATAACCCTTTATTTGGCCTAAAACACAGGTCAGTTGGCCTACTCAGAATCTTAGACTAGCTTCCCATGGAGACGGAGACATAACGTCTCTCTCCAGCAGCTCCTCAGTGCCCCTCTGTTTGCCATGAAATTAGAACATGCCAGACTTCGTTCAGTTCAGTCATGGTAAGTGGTGCGTGGGGTATTTTTAGGGCCCGGTAAAACTGGATCCTTGGCCTGCTGCATGCACATTCTAGTGCTATGTGCCCATCTTTGTGGAAAGAGAATCGTTCATTTCAGCCCCGTGTGCAGTTAATCTTGAGGCTTACATTGGGAAAGTGAGTCCTTAACGAAGTGTGGAGTGAGAACTCTAATCTATACCATCCAGTACAATAAACCCATCAAAACAGTGAAGGCAAGAGATGGATCATACTGCTAGCAGGATGTATATTTTTCTTTTAAAAAATATTTTAAAATAAAAAGTTTTATCTTTGTAGCATTCCAGCCCTGTGTGTCCAGCTTTACATCAATCACATTTTTTACATGAATCATTCCCAGCTCCCATGAGCGGCACACCTGGGTTTGAGTCATGGCTCTGGTACTCACCAGCTAGAAGGTTTTGGGCAAGTCAGTTACCAGTTTTGTCTCTATCCTCACCTGTAAAATGTGGATCATCCCCGTTTTATGGGGTTATTGTGAGGATTAAAGCAGTGCCTGCAAAGGATGTAGCACTGAGTGGAAACTGTGATCACTGGAGCGAGTCTGTGTATAATTACTGAGTCCTCCAACAGTTACCTACCGTTTGGATGTGTTAGGTGAGTTAAAAGGAAAACCGAATCAAAGACAGACCAAAGTAAGGTAGTTATTCTGAATAGTTGGGAAAGTCAGAAAGCCCTTCTTGCATTTCTTCCCAGACAGGTTGGTCACTTCAGGGGTGGGGTGGGGGCGGGGGGGGGGTCATACTAGAGGTACTTGTAATGGAACCATTGTTTTTGTTTTATTTTTTAAATTTTTATTTACTTTCTGGCCGTGCCACGAGATTTGCAGGATCTTAAGTTCCCCGACCAGGGACTGAACGCGGGCCCCGGTAGTGAAAGCGCAGAGTCCTAACTACTGGACCACCAGGGAATTCCCTGGAACCATTGTTTTTACACACACACACACACACACACACACACACACACACACAGAGTTTTCTGTCTTAAATACTTGAGGTCCCTAAATTATATGCTAGACAGTGTAAAAGGAGGGTGTGGAATAGGTTTGAGCTCTATAACAAAGTCGGCTCATTCAGGGAGAAGGGAGCATGTGGTGCTCTCGTGCTCAAAGGTAAACAATAGGTTTATGATTTTATTTTATGTATTTATTTATTTAATATATTTATTTACTTTATTTATTTTTGGCCGCATTGGGTCTTCGTTGCTGCGCGGGGGCTTTCACTAGTTGCAGCCAGCGGGGGGCTACTCTTCGTTGCGGTGCGCGGGCTTCTTGTTGCAGTGGCACGGAGCACGGGCTCTAGGTGCTTGGACTTCGGTAGCTGTGGCTCGTGGACTCTAGAGCGCAGGCTCAGTAGTTGTGGCGCACGGGCTTAGTTGCTCTGTGGCATGTGGGGTCTTCCTGGACCGGCGCTCGAACCCGTGTACCCTGCATTGGCAGGTGGATTCTTAACCACTGTGCCACCAGGGAAGTCCCTGATTTAGTCTTACCAAATCTCTCCACCCTCTAAATTCCCATATTATGTTATGATATTAATAGATTAATTAATTCGTTTACCTTTTCCCCCCTCTACTTCATTTGTCCATCATTTTTGGAAAATGTGGCATTCCAAATCTTCCAGGCAATAGAAGCTCACCCCTTGGGCTAACATAATTTATCTTTTTTCTTATTCTGTTATTTGTAATAATGTGTTTAATCCGCAGCGGGCCAGGACACCAGATTTATTAGCATTAAACCCCAGATGTCAGGGGTTGAAGGGGACTGAAACGTAGTTTAATCTAGTCACCCGATGCCTGAAAATTGTTTACAGAGCAGTTAATACAGGGGCTCTGAGTGACATGAGAGGTCCTCTCTTTCTGGTGACAGAAGTCCATCGACTCTTGGGAGCTAGTTTGCAGTGGCTTCTTTGTTTGCTGATTTCTAGGTTTGAAACCATTGTGGAGTATTGACTGTGTTGACAATCTGAATGTTGTGTGGTGTCAGGTGTTAATGTATTTATAACTACGTTCATTACATGTTTTTTTTATAAAGTTATTTATTTTTCGTTGCGTTGGGTCTTCATTCCTGTGCGCGGGTTTTTCTCTGGTTGTGGTGAGCGCGGGCTACTCTTCGTTGTGGTGCATGGGCTTCTCATTGCAGTGGCTTCTCTAGTTGTGGAGGAGGGGCTTCAATAGTTGTGGCATGTGGGCTCAGTAGTTGTGGCTCGCGGGCTCTAGAGCGCAGGCTCAATAGTTGTGGTGCATGGGCTTAGTTGCTCCACAGCATGTGGGATCTTCCTGGACCAGGGCTCGAACACTTGTCCCCTGCATTGGCAGGCAGATTCTGAACTACTGCACCACCAGGGAAGTCCCCTCATTACAGTTTGATGTTATGTAACAAGTGAAAAACTATTAGAGAAATAAAACTATTTTTTTTAACTTAAAGGTCCTTATGTTATGGCCAGTGTTGCAACAAAAATTTTTCAAGAATTGGTGGAAGGTGTATTTTACATACATAACATGGGAATTGTACACAGAGATCTAAAGGTAAGTGGGGAAGATTAAATCATTGACAGCTGCTTACAGGGATGACTTGGGTATTGGTTTATTGAATTAAATGAGATCATGTACCCTAGTTTATTTACCTTGGAGGTTATCATTACCTTTATATTGTATAAATCATTGTTCCATAGGTCTAGAATGTGAAAACTTTAGATTGAATTTAAAAGGAGTAATCTTTGGGCATTCGAAAATTCTAGCTGTTTTCAGGTAGTAAGTGTGCTCTGAGTACTAATATAACTGATGATGCTAAATGTATTTCATGCTGACAAAAATACTCATTTCTGCCTTAGAGGTAAAATCTGTTTCTGTAATTATCCCTCTTAAAAGAAATTTAACATGGGAAATTTTTTTCTGCTGTTTTAAAAATCTGTAATGACTATTCCAATTTTTATAAAAGACTATCAAGAAAGAGAGACAATAGGGAATTCCCTGGCGGTCCAGTAGTTAGGACTCCAAGCTTTCACTGCTGGGGGTGCGGGTTCAGTCGCTGGTTAGGGAACTGAGATCCCGCAAGCCGTGCGGCATGGCCAGAAAAAAAGAGAGAGCCAGAGAGAGAAAATGTATTTACTTCTTTGGCTGAGAGTTTTAAATTAATTTACTTACTTTTGGGGCAAAAATTAAATCATGGAAAATGCATTTAAAAGACTATTTAGGAAGAAAAAGTTAATGTGCAAATCATTTTATTTTTTGAAAAAGGTTTAAGAACCAGTCGTTTGTACATTTGGGATGTATAAGGTGATGGGTTAAGTATTTTCTGGGTACACGTCTAGCCAGAAAATGCGACGTGAGTTACTGAAGTTCTGTGGCTCTGTGCAACTTTGAGATCTTATTTCAGGAGGTGAGCTAAACCATAATAACCAGATACAGAATTCCAGATCTTCCTTGGGAGAAGTCGCTTCAAGTGCTGTTTTTGTTTCTCCCCACAAATATTTCTGACATTTCTTTTACAGTTGTCCTCTAGGGATAAGGGTTTTTGAGATAACTTTATTAGGGTTTCCCTTAGGAGGTGGAATTCTGGGAGCATGATTCCTGCAGGTAGAATTCCTTGGTCATTGGTCAGTCTGAAAGGATAAGAGTGGTAAAGCAGCCTGGTGAGAAGTGCTGTGTCTCTTATATTGGAACCGCGCTGGAAGGTACATATATATCAGAGATTCCCCATTTCTTGTTAATATGTTAACATTGGCTTCAAATTCGAGCAAGAGATTATTGCCTCTCTGCCTCCAAAACGCCTCGTGGCTCGCGGCTTGACCTTCACGGTCCTGCGTATTCACCTGGGCTCCGTGAACGAGCAGCAGGCGGATGCAGCTCAGGCCCGCGGCCAGCAGCCGGCCGCATCGCTTGATGTGGTGCACACCGCCAGCTTCAGGGCCATGTTGCCTGTGGAGGAGACGGCGCAGTTGACGTTTGCCCCGTGGGCAGTGAGCGTTTCTATCACCTCCTTATTCAGTATATCTGCAGCCATGTGCAGGGGTGTCATGCTGGACTCGTTTATGGCGTTGACCTGGGCACCGTTCTGGGCCAGGATGGAGAGAACCGGGTAGGTCCCGTACGTGATGGCCAGGTGCAGCCGGGAGTGCCCGTTGCTGCTGTCCGCTCGCGCATTCACCTGGGCCCCGTGTTCGCACAAGATGCGGAGACACAGGACTGTGTTGTTCTGGATGTCTGTCAGGATCCTTTGGATCTGTTCCCCGGCTTCGTCCACGTGGTAGAGGTGATGGGCCAGTGCAGCAGCATCAGGTGGAGCGTGGTGAGGCCTCTTGTGTCTCTGGAATAGGTACTGATGGCAGATTACACTCAGTTCACAGTGGGAATGGCTCGACGCGGAGAGCTACTGCTTAAGAAGGCAACATTTATTTAAGGTAATCCCCCGTAATTACTCTAGAGAAGTGTTTGAGAATCTGCATTGCTGTTTAATTTCTTGGGGTATCCCAGCATCTCGCGGGGACAGGGTGGTATGCATCACAGCACGGAGGGGCCCAGCTTCCTATCGCAGCTCATGTCAGCTTTGTTACTCCTGCTGGGACGGTGGCCTCTTCCAGGTTGCATCTCAGTTAGCTCTGTGTCCACAGCCCCTCAGGGCTGTGCTGAGTTAGCAGCCATTCAGTAAAATTGTGCGGACTCGAGTGTGATCCGGAATTCCCACAGAAGTGAGCCGTGAAGGGGCAGAACGCCCGCTGACGCAGTCCCTGGTGGCCCCGCACCTGCTCCTCTACCTGGCCTTCTCACTCGTGTGTGTGGATGGCAGGGGCTGCAGCTGGAGTTTATCGTCAGTCCCTCCCCAGCACAGGCGGAGTGAGAGTTTGACAACTCGGCCCTCATCTCCTTTCCTGAAATCTCTCAGGATTGCCTCCAAAATTCCTTGATCGTGGCAGAGAAAAGGGAAGGTCTCTTATGAGCATCTGACCGCTCCACTGGGATTAGAAGATGACTTTTCAGTTCACCTGTTGATCTAGTGTAAGCCCTGCACCAGGGGTGTGGGGACAGCAGAGTCCCCACGCTGCAGCGCTCACAGTCAGGTGTGGAAGCATTAATCCGAAAGAGCTAAGTAAACAGGCCAGTGGGCAAAGAGGTCTGCAGGCCCCACCCAGGGCGAGAAAGGGTGGGAAGGGTGTACTGAGGAATCCTGTGGGGAGGGGGAACATGATGGTCCAGTCCTGGGAGGACCTGCAGAGCTGGAGTGGGGCTCGAGGGCAGGGGGAGAGCAAGACGGGGTGGGGCGCCCTTCCGTAGCGTGGTAAGGATTTGGGGCTCGACTCTCTTTTATACCATGTACTTCTCCCATTCATTCAGATGATATTTATTGGGTACTTAGGAAGTGTCAGCATTGGTTTAGGCGGTGAAGATATATTGGGAAGCAAGATGAACTTCTTTCCAAGAAAATCCCTTGCCTCTTTCCATTTTCTTATTTTTCGTATCTAACTTAGGTTGTTAAACTCCCTGAGGGCTGTGACCAGGACTTAATTTTCCACAACACCATTGCTGAGCGCTTAATACTCACGATGCTTTAAGTGGGCTGACTGATTTGTGTTCCTGTATTATTTCCGGTTTTCAGAGGATCTCATCTAGTCAGTAAGGAAATTGGTTTATTCCAAACGTGGTAACCTGTAGTCCATCACCCGTGGAGAATGGATGAGTCCAGACATGATCGGGAAAGGAACACAGATCGTGTGTGTCCTCATTTAGAAACAGTCACCTGTTGAGTTAACTTACCTTACTTCTGGGTGTGCTTCATGTTCTAACAAACAAAGCAAACTCTGTGCCTTGCGGTATTCCGCAGCCAGGATGGGGATGATGGACTGCGTCTGCTTTGGGGGGGAAAAATACATTACAAGTAGCCCGATATAGTTAGAATAATTGTGTTAGCTTGCTATTTCAAAGGAAATAATTGTATTTAGCATCTCTTTGGTTCAGTATTTCTCTGTTATGTGCACTGAAATTCTCCTTTTGCGTTTTAAATTACCCCAAACCAGTCAATTTTAGATTGATATTATAAAAATCTGTATTTTACATACATGCAGATTTACCAAGGCAGCAGATATAATTTACTTAAAGCTTCGAAAGTTGATTCTTGTGAAGAGCTCATTGTGTAAAATTAATGGTAATTGCTATCAAGTCCCTTGGTCCTTAAATTGGCCCAGAGAGTCATTGACAAATAGGTTTTGTTTTTTAAGCCTTTGCCAAAGTCATAGCATCAGTAGTATAACCTGCACGTTTAGGGTTTCACAGTTAATGCTGCTTGTATTCTGTCTATGATTAGCAGAGCTGTTTATGTGAGTTCTTTACACACACACACACACACACACACGCCTTTATAGCACGACTGCAAGATAAGGGCAGAGGGTGACTTTCTGAAAAAAATTTAAGTTATAAGGGTAATAATTACTGTATAAAAATTCAGAAAATGAAAAACTATATGTAAAAAAGGGAGAAATAATTCCAGCACACAGACATAATCAGCACTGGCACATCTGAGAGGATGACATTAATGTTCTTCCAACCAAGCGAGCCCCAGTCAGTGCCCCTGTGATCCCTGGAAGGAGTCGTCGCAGACTCAGCAGAACACGGCTTTGGGTGTGCGGTGTGCTCAGCGTGGACCATCCAGCCTCGGGCACGGTGAAGGCAGCCAGGTGTAGTGAGTCCTTAGGAATCAGGTGGCGTTCCTTCTGAAGCATCACGTTTTTTTTTCTCAAAGTGACTGAGAGGAGAACGCGGGTACTTGGCTCAGCAGTGATCTGTAGCTGGTGGAGTTGGCCAGAACGGCCGTGGGCTGGTTGACAGGTGGCTTCTAAGCAGAGCCTGGAGTGCGGTGCTGCCCTCCCTCAGGATGGCCTCGTAGAGCCCGGTGTGGAATGACACCACCGCGCCCTCTTCCGGGGCCTGGGCCCCGTCAGCCACCAGCCCCCTGCTGCCTCTCTTGGTTATGTTTCCCATGAGTACCACTTCGAGGGGGGACTTAGGAATTCAGGGCAAACGCATTACAGAATTGGTCAGTCTCAGTCTCTTTATGATTCTTTCCATTCAGTTCTAGAACTGTTGAGAATGGTATCCATGAAGATGATGATGCATTTTTATATCAGAACCAAACTTTTTCACATGTTGTTCCTGTATCTACAGTGCCAGCTACAGGAGCACAGTTTCCAGGACTTTCTACGTAGTCACAAAAGCGTAGCCAGATTATCATCTTGCACCTAAGATTGTTTCTGTTGTCTCTTCCCATTCAGCTACTGTTACAAAAACCTGAAAACGCTAAAATAAGGGAATTTATACAAACAAAACATTTACATTAAGAAGACCTAACTTTTAAGTTAAACGCTTTCTAGTTTTTAATGGAATTCCACCCCGCCTCCAACAGAGGTGCATTTTCCACTGGTCTGGGGGTACTTCCATCGGGAAATGTGTTGGGTCTGTGATGACTGCTTCAACAGAGTGAAATGTGTACCTTTAGAGTGTGACCTGGCTGTCCCCAACCCTGGCTAACATGTTAGATCATCTGGGAGCTTTAAAAAACATCCGTGTTTTCATTAAAAATAATAATAATCGAAGTCTTTGACTTGTTGAGAGGATAGTAGTTATTAAAACCTTCTCGGTGCCTCTGAAGTCCCGTCAGGGCTGAAATGCACTTGTGCACAAGTATGCTGTACATTAGTGGAATAAGCTGGGGACTTTAAGTGATGTCGACGCCTGTGTCCACCTCCAGGAAATCTGATTTAATCCGTCTGGGGAGTGGCTTGGCTGCTGAGATTTGTTTAAAGTTCCTCCGGTGATGCTGATGTGCGGCCGAGTTTGAGAACCACTGCTCTCATTTTTAATTCTTGAGGGGCTGTTGGCTCCTGAGTTGAAAACTCTCAGCATCTGCATGTTTTCACTACTCATTCTAGAACACCGTGGAGTTGACCTGTTCTGTTTGTTTCCAGCCCAGAAATATTTTTCTTCATGGCCCCAATCAGCAAGTAAAAATAGGAGACTTTGGCCTGGCCTGTGCAGACATCATCCAGAACACAGACTGGGCCAATGGAAATGGAAAGAGTAAGTTTGTTTTGGTGGTTGTTTTTGCTTGGTTTTGCATTAAAAAAAGAGAGAGAGAGACATGGTTGAACACTGTCAGTATTTAAAGAGAATCAGAAAGACTTAACGGCAAAGGTGAGATTTAAAAAAAAAGCAACTATCATTTCCTTGGGAGCTGCAATGCCCTGCTCAGTCAGGGGTCTTTATGTGGACAGTGCTAACCCTGCCATGCTTAATCTCTGGCTTTTCAAATTACAGGGACACCCACACACACCTCCAGAGTGGGCACTTGCCTGTATGCTTCCCCTGAACAGTTGGAGGGATCCGAGTATGATGCCAAGGTAGTGTTTGTTCCCTTCTGCCCTTTCAGTGGACTTACCCTGCAGTCGTAAGTAACAAAAAGTACAGTAAATGCAGTGGAAGGTCTGACGTCGAAGTGATTTGGAAATAGCGGAGTGTGGTAGGTTATCTCTTACATCAAACTACCATAGTGCGAAGCCTCACTTTTCAACTGAATCTGACTTTTTTAGGCTATTTTACTGTTTCCAAATCCGTGGGTGTCACAAAATAATTTTTGCAATGAGCTTTCCCTTTAAGATACCACCTTCCCCTCAGGAAGGCAGGATTCACCAGAGTCTTGTTTTCAGCCGTTCACTCTGCCTTCAGGCTTAGGTAAATCAGTGCCCCCGACAAGTGTGCCACCTGCTTCCCTCTGAGGCTGAATGAAGATGCGGAAAAGTTTTAATCCAGCTCGTTCCTCGAAGAAATGTTAAAGTAAATTCTTTTCTCAAAATAACAGCCTAGTAAATTTTCTTCCTTTTGATGAATCATTCAACTTTTTAGTGATTGGGAAAGAGCTGCCAGAAAAACCATGGCAGCTCCGAAAATCCTATGTAGTAAACACCTTCCTAAAAGACTGTTTTTAGGAAAAGTGACAGGTTTTATGCAGAGTTTGCTAAAACTTTACTAAGAATGCCTAACTCTTAGCGGAGGCAGAGGTGGGACCGGGGTAGGCCGCAGGGACCCTCGGTGACCTCTCATGTCTCTCTCAGGCTATACCTGGCCTGGGTTTTCAAGGAGCAGTGGAGTCAGTTGTATGGTAGTGACCGCTCTGGGTGGCCGGGATCACCCCTGCCCCTCGCCTGGCCCTCAGTCCTTCGTGCCCCTGGATGCCCCTTTTTGGTGTTAGAGCTGGGGATTGCAAGAGTACAGTCATCTGTCTGTAGATCACCTACAGTAGATCCAGCTGGCAGACACCTGCCTCTGTGAGGGACGAGCCAGCCCGCTGTGTTCCCTCCGTTGTAGGGACTGTCGATCATCCTTCTGTAGAAAATCCTCTCGCTTTTGAAAGGAAGGTGGGTGGGAATGGAAATGTTACTCTGTGTATTTCACTACTGATTGACCGTTTCCCCCCTTTTTCAGTCAGATATGTATAGCTTGGGTGTTATCCTGCTGGAGCTCTTTCAGCCGTTTGGGACAGAAATGGAGCGAGCACATGTTTTAATGGGTTTAAGAACTGGACAGATCCCCGAGTCCCTCAGTAAAAGGTGTCCCGTCCAAGCCAAGTACATCCAGCACTTAACCAGAAAGAGCTCATCCCAGAGGCCGTCTGCTGTTCAGCTGCTGCAGAGTGAACTCTTCCAAAATTCTGGAAATGTATGTATGATTTTTTTAATACTGGGGGAAATATGAAGCTTAAAATGGAATTTGTTTAAATTGTGAATCCCATTTCACGAAGCGCAGTTGAGCTTAGAGTCAGGTTTATGGAAACAAAATATTTCAGCCCATTCTCAGAGTTGCCAGTGGCGTACTTGTCAGGGAAGCTAGATGACCACTGCCAACTGTCTACTCTGAAAATGGTCACATGGGTTCCAGTTTCGAGCCTCATCTTGCTAAGTCAAAAGGTTTTAGTTTTCCTTTCCAACTGTGGTATATGGCCTTTTATGAATTATTATAAAGTATCTACTAGTAGAACGGCACACACACCAAAGGATATAGGACAGCAGTGCTTCTCAGGGGAGCTGGAGCATCTGTGGCTGAGACCGCCTTACCCACCCTGAGATCTCAGCATCCCCGTGTGGAGTCTGGTTTTCTGTCCTGTGAGGGGTCCTGCTCCAGGCAGCCATCCCCTTCCTCCTTCCTGACGTGTCATTTCAGTGCCAGGTATACACAGAAACTTTCTAAGACTTAAAAAACTTGACTCAAAGAGAAATTCACAGGTTCTCTAGTGCTTTGCTACTCAAAGTGGGTCCTCCGACCAGCAGCATCAGCCTTACCTGGGAGCTTGTTAGAAACACAGGCTCCAGGGCTCCCCCCCAGACCTGCACTGTAGTGAGATCTCCGAGTAACTTATACCCAGCGTGTGAGCAGCAGTGGGTGGACGCACCAGTTCCAGAGTGCGGTCTCCAGACCAGGAGCATAAAATCACCATGAACTCGACAGAATTCTTAGCCCCCCCCCCCCCGCCGCTTCCCCCACTGACCTATAAAAGAGACATCTGGGGGAGAAGGGGCTACTCTCTGTGCTTCTGCAAACCTCGAAGCGGTTCTGATGCACACGAGTTGGGGAAGCACTTGCAACTGGTTAGTTGATTTGTCTTTTGTTTAAGGCTTATTTGTGTTCAAGTAAAACAGTGAATTTTAGTAGATTGAACAGTAAATGGGTAGGTGTAGTGATTTTCTCTCAGTCTCTGAAAATAGCAGATGTGGTTGTTAAATTGATATCCTTGTATGGAGAGAATTTTCTAACTCCCTGTGAAGCTAGAGTAGAGACCGTAGTTATTTGTTGTTAATGGTAAGGATTTCTCCTTCTTGTAGAATTGTTTATAAAGTAACCTGTGCATACCTGCAGAGATAAATTTGCATAGACAGGTGGCCCTCACTTTGCACTTTGTGTAGTGCAGGACTGTGACAATGACTACGCAGAGCTCACAGCATACAAAAGGAGCTTAATAATCGATGGGGAAGTTACAGTCGTTCCATGACCTTTAAAAATGTTTGTCAGAACATTAAAGCTCTCTTATTATCAGTTACAGATGTTTGTGGAAATGAAAAAAATTATAAAACTATAATTGAGAATGAAAGTGTTTCAAGAGTAGTTTGAATAGTGCCCACCATCTTGTCCCGTAACCTAGGGCACGGAGTGAGCATCTTTTCTGTGCCCTGGTGACTCGTCATACTCCTCGCTAAGTTTGGGTCAGTTTCTGGCATTTTACCTTCGGCACTTTTGACGTTCTGATCCGTCCCCAAGAGTTCTTTAATGTGAAGTTTTCTTGGGGCATCTTCATCCTTTTCCTGCTCACGTGGATAAGCGGTCTTCGCTCAGTGCGTCCGATGGTGGCGGGATCAGCATTCCCACGATCAGCTCTTTCGTCTGTAACACCGTGCATTTGATATTCACTTCTAGCATCCTCACTTTTCATGACTTTGCTGTACTTTCATCTTTGTTGGCCAGTTCCCTCTTTCAAAAATGTCACGTGGGTTTATCACTGGGAGACAGGAGGCAGCACAACTCCACACACTGCCCGTGTGTGAACCGACTAACAGGTGCACGGTGACCAGCCAGCAAAGCCGTTGAAAGAAGTGATGATTGTTCCTGATTATGACATGTATGGTGGGTCACACAGTGTTTCATGGACTGAAGTGCTAAGGCAATTAGTCACTATACCTTGGTAACTGACACTTGACCCACGTTGCTGGGTGACGCGTAATAAGCTGTGAGAACTGGAATCCACGCGTATTGGAAGTGTGCAGAGAGGCAGGCCTGTATATTTAAAAGTAAAGGAAGAAGCCGTTGTAACGGAGCTTAAAATTTTCTCTCTTTACAGGTTAATCTCACCCTACAGATGAAGATACTAGAGCAAGAAAAAGAAATTGAAGAACTAAAGAAGCAGCTAAGTCTCCTCTCTCAGGACAAAGGGGTTAAGAGGGTGACTTGAAAGATGGGGGTGTGCCCGTGTAGCCTCAATAGGCTCTGTAGATATGAGAGTGGACTTTTTAAGCTAAATAGTCAGCTGGAATGTAAATTTTCAGTCTTTATTAGGGTGTGGCTGGTATAACTCTAATTGCATTTAGTGAGCCTGTATAAGACGTATTAAAGCGAGGCTGTGAAGGTACCCTTTACGGCTGGCATTTTGAACCGAAGACTGCTCGAAACGAAGCCTGTTCTGTTCTTGCCTTCCTCCTACCCCACACGCTCCTTTTCCTGGACTTCTCACTTTAATATTACCGTCCATCCAGTCTCTGAAAGTGAAAGTGTAGGCCTCATCCTCAGCTGTTCTTTCTCTCTTGAACTCTGCCTGTTGACCACCAAGTCCTCCTCTAGGTTCTACTGCAGAAACCTAAGTGTGCTCTGGACCCATCGCTGCCCAAGCCCAGGCCCGCGCATGAGCTGCACCGTTCCAAGTGGACAGCTGCTGGCCTTCCTACCCTCCACACTGCGCTGTTCCCACGGGCTCCCTCCTTCCTCACAGACTTGCTTCCCCCCAAGTCTACATTCCTTGAAGGCAGCGATATGATACGTTCGTATTTGTACCCCAGTGTGCCTGCCACGTAGCTGGCAATCGTCACGGTATATTGCATACAGTGTTGCTGGGTTTTAAATAAAATGAAAACCACAAATTAATTATATGATGCATTTATTGATATTTAACCACTGGCCTAGATAGAGACTTTGATTTTAGTACAAGTCCCTTTACCAATAATAGGCACAAAACAGCACCATCCTTAAAATTTAAACCCGTTAAAATCAGTGACTGAGGCTCACTGAAGGAGCTCGAGGGCCATGTGAAAAGGGGCCAGGTTTTCACAGGCCCTCATCCACTTCTGCACGTTGGCTGGCGCTGTCCCACTGCAGCTCCCTGTCTGCTGGAGAACGGACCACAGCACGACATCCGCCACCGTGAGTTCATTCCCAACGAGCCAGGGACTCTTCCCGAGAGCAGAGTTCATGGAGCGGAACACAGCGGCTTTTTCTTTACTGCTTCCCTCTTTCAGCTGAAAAATCGCTATATCTACCCAGCTATCTATGAGGGTTAAATTCACAGCATCCTGCTTCTGGCCAAAGAGAGAGAACAGGAAGCGTGCAATGTTCCCTTCTCCTTCGATGGGACACATCGTTTGGACACTGAACTTCATCTGAGTCTTCGGCACTGAAAAGAAATAAGCACTCCATGAAATGTCAACGAGAGCAGCACCGCCGGAGGAAGTGCTTGTAGAGCGTGGCAAGGGGAGTCCCTGTTGGTCACGAACTGGTGGCGAGGGAAAGTGTATTTTCAAGAAAATCGCAGTTTTAGTCGGTCTCCAAAAGGTTAGTAATATTCAAGAAAGGTTAAACTGCAGGTTTAAACGGTGCAAACTTTAAGTTATAAAGTAACCATTTCTGGTATTTGATGATGACAGTTTTCAAGCTAGAAAGGACCTCAGACCATCTGTTCCAACCCCTGTGCCTAAGGACCTGGGCATGAGGCCTGGAGACCAGGGGTCCCATCTCCCAGGCCAGGACCTCCTGCTGCCCTCACCCTGGCTCTCCACGTGTGGCTGAGGGCAGTAAGGCCTCGATGGATGGACATGAACTCAATTCCCTCTGTAGGAACTTAACTGGGAGAAGTGCACACACCAGTGAGATAACGAATAAATGACATCCTGCCACCCTTTAATGGATAATGTCCATTAAAAGAGGACGTCAGTGTCCCCATAATGATGGGTTTTGGAATGTGAGGGCAAGACGGCCGTGACAGCCGTGACTCCCCTGCCCTGGCTGGTTAGACAGGATTCCCTTGGAGACTGCCCTCAGTTGAGACCTTCACCTTCCCAGAGGAAGGAGAGCATCTCCGGGCCAAGGTGTGCCTGCTCCTCTTGTAGGACCCCCACGAGCTCTCTAGACTTTGACGGCAAGCAGCCGAGGAGTCTGCGCAGCTGCAGGCCGCCCCTTTCCCATTCGCCATTGCCTCCTAGTCACGCAGCCCCTCCGCTTACCGTCCTTCCAAATCAGAGTAAAACCCAGCTGGTACTCGTGACGGGGCTGCTGCCTCGTCTGCTCGCCGAAGCACTTGAGGAGGTTTGCCGGCACACTCTTGATGGCTGAGTGCGTGTGAACAGTGGACAGGACCTTGTAGTGGTCACAGAGCAGCCGGTGCAGCACGAGCAGGGAGAGGGGTGGCGAGGCGGGGTTGGCGTTGATCACGATGTCCTTCAGTGCCCCGTAATCCTGGGGAGCAAACCCCAACAGAGCAGATGACACCAACAGCAACCCGAGTGCTGACACTGTACCAGGTGCTGTGCTTAGAACCCCACCAGGCTTCTCTAAAGAATCGTCACCTCCCGGGAAGAAGGTACTAATGTCACCCGACCTGCAGCCAAGGATGTGAGTGCTGGGGATGGAAGGAAGCTACCAAGGGGGCTCGGCTCGGTAGGAAGCAGGGGACAGCAGCCAACTCCAACCCTCCACCCCTGCAATGCTGCTCCCAATAAATAAAAGGTGACTCTACTCAGATTAGTACAACATGTTAGGATTGACACCTCTATTTGTCCCTAAGTTAAAAAAAAAAATCACACGTGTAATTACTCCATTTACTAAATCTTTCTAATGCCCGACAGGATATAGTTTCTACAGCAATTTGTTTGAGTTACGTGTCAATGAAGAACCCCTTGGAAAAGGGTCTTTGCTCAGGGAGATTTTTAAAAACTAGGTGTGAATTAAAGTGCCAAAACACACTGCCTTTTTATTTTATTTTGTTTTTAAAATTTATTTTATTGAAGTATAGTTGATTTGCAACACGCTGCCTTTAGATGCGGACTATCTTATTTCTGTACATCCGCTCTTCATAACTAATGAACTCATGTGATACAACAGAGGCCAAACTCTGTGGCTTTCTGTCCACAGCCGGCCACAATCTGGCCTCTGGTCTTGCCACTCCTGACCGATGCCCTTCATGTGGACCTATGCTGGATGCTCCGCATTTCTCTGAACATATTGTGTTACTTGATGCCGTGCCTTCTGCGGTGTCAAGATTCATCTGAAGCACCGTGTGCTCTGGGAGGCCCCCCGGCATGCTGGGACACCCGGCACAGCTGTCTCACCGACTCATCCCCCATGCAGACTGGCTCCCTGGGGGACTGGCTGAGTGGGGTCTCATGGGCCCCTGGCGCATGCAAACACGAACTGGGGGATGAAGGGATACATGAGTGCAGAGGGACGGACATTACCAAAAACAGCTCTGGGGGAGACATGGCAATGCTGCCTCCGCTTGTTAGGTCTTTAAGCAGGACCGTTTTCTATCACCAATTCTGGGGGAGGGTGCTAGCAGGGATTCTCGGGACGAACCCTCTTGCACCCACTTGTAACAAGATATTCTTTCTTTGCGTTATCAGATTGTCCTGTAAATCAACTGAAGCCTGTAGACTGACATTAAAGGTGGCTGATGCAACTGAATTTTAACACAGCAAACTGAATTTAAGCAAAATACGTCTGAGGTATGAGGCTGTGACTGGCTTTTAGCAACAAATTGCAAAAGGATCGGTGGGGATTTTGCGCCTAGACAGCCAAGGCTCTGAGATTCAGGCCACTCTCAGAGTCAGGGTGGACTTGGCTGAACCTCAGAGAAGCATTGAGTGTACGACCATTTCTCCAGGGCTCGGGGTCTGCAGGAAGCAGGGACTCTTGACTCCCTCTTCTGCCTAAGGATCCCCCCCCCCCCCCGTTCTCTACCGGGTCTGAGAAATCCAGAAGCTGCATTAGAGCCTGCCTGGCTTCACTCAACGCTCATGAATCTGTTCTGTGCAAAGGCACAATCAGAGGAGGAATGTGCTTTTGCACCACCTTTGAAAACTCGAAAACCAAGGCTTTAATCTCACCGGCACAATTTTCCAGCACTGATATCCACCTAGCGCGCTGATGTTCCTTAGCTTTCTAGACGCACTCACCTTTCCAAGCACGGAATTTAAGTCTAATGCACTGGTCGATAAAGCAGCGGGCTCGTCAGCTTGGATTATGTTGCTTACATCCAAGTCCGCGTCTGGTGTCTGAATCATCTTGGAGAGACCATCGACCGCAGCTTTCAATTCATACAGACGTTTTAAAATATCATCTTGGCGGGACTCAAGAGCTTGAAGAGATGGGTCCGACTCTTCCTAAACAGACCAACATCAAAACGTTCACTTCCTCTCACATCAAAGCAGTCTGTTTGATCACTTGTCTTCCACTTAGTTCGAACCTCCCACCTTTCAGAAGACATTAAAATGAAGTTAGCAGAATCATCTCATTTGCTCCAGTCCAATAGGTCCTGCAAATCAATCCCCAAATGCTATAAAACAAATAATGTTGTGCCTGAAAGCCACTCAGAAATTGCAGGACTCCTATTTCAGATGATTTAGTCTTTAAGAACAGAGAAGGAGAGAAGACGAACACAAATTGTTCTTTCTATCAAACTAGTTCAAAATACTTTGCGTAAATGAATAGAAGATGATTGGGGGTGGCGATGAGGATGTAATCAATCATACTAATCGAAGGGAAAAGGGAGCACACACAGGTTAAGAGAAAAGTGTCCTTAGGCTTAGAAGTATGTCCGGGAGGGTCAAATGATCCATTCCCCAAATCATTTTCTAGGCAATACTGGCACTCACATTATCTTAGAATCATCTAGAACTTTTTCACTGCTGAAATGTATTACTTCATAAAGAGGGAATATTCACATCCTTCATTCACTGAACTTTCTTGCCTGGTACAGTGGACTAGCATACCATAAGTAACTAATAACATTGGGTTGGCCAAAAAGTTTGTCTGAGTTGTTCCGTAATGGAACTCTTTGGCCAACCCAATATTTGCTGAGAAATAAATCTCAAATCTCTACAGACTTACTTTATTGTTTATTTATTTATTTAATTTATTTATTTTTGGCTGCGTTGGGTCTTCGTTGCCGCGCATGGGCTTTCTCTAGTTGCGGCGAGCGGGGGCTACTCCTCACCATGGTACACGGGCTTCTCACTGTGGTGGCTTCTCTTGTTGTGGAGCAAGGGCTCCAGGTGCGCGGGCTTCAGTAGTTGTGGCACACAGGCTCAGCAGTTGTGGCGCACAGGCCTAGCTGCTCTGTGGCATGTGGGATCTTCCTGGACCAGGGCTTGAACCCGTGTCCCCTGCATTGGCAGGCGGATTCTTAACCACTGTGCCACCAGGGAAGTCCCTACCAACTTACTTTATTTTTTTATTTTTATTTTTTTGCGGTACGCGGGCCTCCCACTGCTGTGGCCTCTCCCGTTGCAGAGCACAGGCTCCAGACGCGCAGGCTCAGCGGCCATGGCTCACGGGCCCAGCCGCTCCGCGGCATGTGGGATCTTCCCGGACCGGGGCACGAACCCGTGTCCCCTGCATCGGCAGGCGGACTCTCAACCACTGCGCCACGAGGGAAGCCCCCAACTTACTTTAAAAAGCAATAACAAGAAACCTCCCAGCAGTCACACTGTGCAACCTATTTTCAGATTCACAGGCTCTCACAAAAGATAATCCATTTGAGTCAAGAGAACAAAGAACACGTTAAGCATGAGTAAGACACTCATGCCTAGACAAAAGGGTCAATAGGCAGTGACCTTGAGTTTACTATAAACATGCACTCGTGGCCTCCCCTGGTGGCACAGTGGTTAAGAATCTGCCTGCCAATGCAGGGGACACGGGTTTGAGCCCTGGTCCGGGATGATCCCACGTGCCGCGGAGCAACTAAGCCTGTGCGCCACAACTACTGAGCCTACACGCTGCAACTACTGAAGCCCGCGCATCTAGAGCCCGTACTCCGCAATAAGAGAAGCCACCGCAATGAGAAGCCTGCGCACCACAACGAAGAGTAGCCACCGCTTGCTGCAACTAGAGAAAGCTCGCGTGCAGCAACGAAGACCCAACGCAGCCAAAAATAAAATAAATTTATTTTAAAAAATAAACATGCACTCATGATACAGTGTGAGTGTTGGAAGAGTGCCTGATCACATTTGTATGCTGGTGAGTTTAAGGAACATTTTGTTTCTCCCCTTGTCACTCACAACACTGCCCTCTTCGCAGAGCTAATGCATCACCAACTGTTGTCAATTTTCTGGAATCCAATGACTTGTAAGTATGCCTCCATGGTCAATGCCTGAGTCCAAGACACCATTTTTCACCTGGCCTACTTCCACTGGTCACCTTGCATCCATTCTGGTCCACCCCTCCACCCCACCCATCCCTACGATGGCAGCCAGAAATCAAAACAACCTCTTAGGCTAAAAAGCCTAAGATAAATAGCTTGATAAATAGCTTGTAGGAATGGTTCTCTGCTTACCTCCTCTCCCATCATTCTCCCCATTGCTCTGTGCTCTGGCCATGCTGTTCTTTGGATCCTAAACCTGCCACAGGGCTTTTCCTCATCAGGTTCCCTCTGTCTGCAACACCCCTCCCCCTTCTCTCGGCTGGTTAATGCCGATTTACCCTAGAGCTGGATCTCCACGATCTCAGCTCCCCTCACCTGCTGCTCTTGTTTGAGATCAAACAGCAGAGAAATGGAAGATGACTACCATCTGGGTGGGACAAAGAAGGATAGAGTTCAGTGTGCCAATTAAACAATGTGGTGCTGACTGGAAATAAGTGTGCAGAATGTGTGACTGGTAAGGCTGCCACCTGTGTGATATCCTCATGTTACTCAGTATCAGTCCTCCTGAGTAATACTTCCAATCTTTTAATCCAGACTGTATGTGTGCATTCTTTGTGTACAACTTTGCTCATTTCTACAACTGGCAGTCGGGTCCCTGCCCAACCAGGGGCAAAGCACCTACTGTATTCAAAACCCGTCAGCACTCCACTGAAGACTGACCCAGCAGCTCGATCTGAGGAATGCAAGATACTCAAGTTCTGCTTTACCTACCACACCTTCTAATGCTGGCCTGTTGTTTTCCTTGTTCAGGAGAGACCGTGACTCGGCGTGCTGTGTTTATCCATTTGTTATTTTACATGGATTTAGAAGCTTTTTTTTTTAGAAGCATTTTATTCTTTGTGTTGCTCTCATTTCTCCTGGAGATGCTAGATTTCTAATGATCTATCCACATTGTTATCATCTGCTGTTATCATCTTCTAAGTTGCAAGTTCACAGTTAAATGCCCAAAGGAAGTAGTTAGGCAGCAGACTTAAAAAAAAAAAAAAAAAAAGAAAGGGGGACTTGGTCTCAAAAGAGGTGTTATGCTCCCCACTCTGGGGTTTTCTTTTTGATTCCATGGGACTGTCCAGTTGAGGGGCACCAGACCATGCCTGCATGGGAATCTCCAGGTGGAGAGATACTGGACCATGCCTGTGTTTTTGCCTTAGCTCTACAGTGAGACAACAGTTGTGTTATTTGGTTTCAAACTAAACTAACCACCGCCCTTCCAATCGAGGCAGAAAGGTCTTAAGACAAAGGATGACAGGGAAAACAAGCCACGAACGTTATCTATTCACTCATCTTGAGCCAGAATGGAGAGAAAGTCTCTCCAGTTGGAAAATTAAAATGTGTATTTGCAATTAATAAAAAAAGTCGAAGTTGAGCAGGTACTTTACAAAAGAGGTGAAATCAAAATGCCCCATAAACATGAAAAGGGGCTCGACCGATTTAGCGGTCTCGGAGATATGAACTAAATTACATTAGGATACCACTGTACACCCACCAGCTTTGGGGAGGGTGCCAACATCAGAAATTCGTATACACTGCGGGTGAGAGCATAAACCGGGATGACCGCTTTGGAAAGCAATCTAATCCAGTTGAAGACAGACCAGCCCACTGAGCCAGCGATCCCATCCCTTAGTATATCCCCTATGCCTGCTCGTGTACAAGAATATTCTGCAGAATAATTCATAACAGCCTAAAATGCAAAACCAGCCGACGCCCGTGAGCAGCGGGATGGATAAAGCCCTGGGGGCACAGTCAAGCCAAGGAGCAGCAGGCCGCAGAGGACGAACGCTTTGCTTTCTCATGGCAGCAAAGGGATTCTTCAAATCATATCTAGAAGAGGCAGCCAGACATTGCAGGGCACACGCTGCATGCTTCCACTTACACCAAGACTACATGGTTTAGGGATGCATACTCAGGTGACAAAATAAGAGAGAAAAGCAGGACGTAATGACCATGGAAGTTGGGAACTTTGGGGGTAGTTTTAAGTGGGGCGCTGACAACGTGTTAACTTGAGTGGTGGTGACACTGGCATTCGCTTTATAATTCCTCAAAACGAGCATTTACGTGCTATTCGCTTTTCTGTGGGTAAAATTTCGTCATATAAAAGTTTAAGTAGTCATAAGCGAAAGAAAGATTCCAGATGGATAGCTATTTTAATAGTTGAGTTTACGGTCGTTCGGAGGCCGGCGGGCGCGTGAGGCTGGAGTGGGGTAGGCGATCGGGTCTGGTCCCCACGGTTTGTTCGCGACAGTTCGGGTCCCAAGGTCCGGGCCTGGAAGGACCCCTGCCCCTAGTCCTCCAACTGAGGGCCAGGGCGGCAGCGCGTGCGCACTGAACAAGAGGGCAGCAGGGCGGGGCCGCGGTGGAGCCAGAGCGCCTGAGCACTGGACGGGCGGGCGGTGGGACTAGAGCCTTGGTGCCTGGCACTGGGCTGATGCGGGGCCGGGGAAAGGGCCGCGCGCTCCTACCTGCACGTGGCTTGCTGCTGGCGCGGGACTGGCGATCCTACCGTGCACGTTGGGGAGCCGGTACATGCAGGTGGGAAGCTCTACACAGAGAGATCCACTGCCCTCGTGATAGGGCTTTACCTGGTACATCGGCATTGTGGAACCCAAGGGAGGGAAGGTGGCGGGTGAGAGACACGAACGCTCAGAAACCGTCCAAGTCCCCGACAGGCTGCGGCCACCTCCTTTCCGACCCGGAGGCTGGCGTCCGGGAAAGTTCAGTTCCTGTGCTCTAATTGGCCCCTGCTAATTTGATGTCATGGACTCGACCTTTGACACAACCAATCAGCGAGAAGGAGAGGTGGGAAGTGTTCGTAGCCTTATCCGGAAGTGGCGAGACACAGTGTCGGAAGCAGCCAATGGGCGGCAGGGTGGCTGGATTCCCTCCCCCCCACCGTGGGAGCGGCGGCGCAAACTGTTCCGATTCCAGGATCAGGCTCTGCATCCATGGAGCAAGCCGACGTGCCGAGGTGAGCCGAGCTTGCAGCCCCTACTCGCGGTCGCCCTAAGGCCCACAGCGTTCCAGACCCCTGAGGGGAAAGTGACCGCGGCGCTGGGCGAGCCGGCCGCACGGAGGCCCCAGGCCAGGCTC